CTATCAGTTACGAGATGTCTTTACTGTCAAGCCAGAGAATGTACCACACACTGAAAACAAAGAAGGGCGATGAGAAGGGGCACAAAAGGAAACTAAATTTTTAGACACTTTGCATAACAGACAGTGCTAGATACTTTCGACGTGTTTTCACTGATGTTTACAAAAGTCCAAAAGTAGGTCAGTTTTACCCATTTTCAAGGAAGGAAACTGAGGTTCAGAAAGAAGAAACTTGCCCCAAGTTACATGCTTCTGACTCTAAAACTTGTGTTCTGTCTACTACAGTATTCCCCAAGTAGCCTCATAGGTCTGACTCTGAAACCCTACTACTAACTATTAAGGAAGTGAACACTCTGAATCCCTTGCATGCTTTCGGCTGAGGTAAACTTGTACAGCTGAAGCATAGCTGGATGTATTTCCTGTGTCCTGACCTGAGGTCATACTAACGTAGCTAAATGATGAAACCACATTTCTTGCTATCTTTTATTTAATAATCATAACCTTTATACTTCTGTGGTTGGTTGTGTTTCTTAATGGCACAGTCTTTGGCGGAACTTTGATCATGTCAAGATTTTGTAATGAAAAATTTCTTAACGTGAATATTTGAAACTGGAAGTATTTGGACAACTAAAAGCCACTCTGTGTTATAAGTATAATATATTAGGATAATCTCACCTGGGTGTTCCAAAGTAAATCCGTTATCATTTTTTTTAAATATATTTTTATTGATTTTTTACAGAGAGGAAAGGAGAGGAATAGAGAGTTAGAAACATCGATGAGAGAGAAACATCGATCAGCTGCCTCCTGCACACCCACTACTGGGGATGTACCCGCAACCAAGGTACATGCCCTTGACCAGAATCGAACCTGGGACCCTTCAGTCCCCAGGCCGACGCTCTATCCAATGAGCCAAACCGGTATGGCCCGTTATCATTTTTATAGTCTTAAAAAAATGTTTCTAACCCTACCAGAGGAAAAACACCTTTGATTCCTAGGTCTCCCCTCCCAAGCTAAATTTGAATATTGGTCAAAGAAAGAAACTTGGGTCCATTTATTTTAAGCATCTTAAATGATGTGTGACCAGTTTTTAGCTGCCATTGGCTAGAAGGAAATGTTTTGAGGTTTCTCTGTTTTTAACCTTTATTTTTTCTGAACCTAAAAAGCTTTCCTCGAAATGCAAACTTAAGAATATTATCAGGCATCTCAAACAGTGATATTTTTCTGATGAAAGGAAAATGAGCCCTGGCTAGGTGGCTCAGTTGGTTGGAGCTTCATCCTGTGTACACCAAAAGGTTGAGTGTTTGATTCCTGGTCAGGGCACATACCTAGGTTTTGTGTTTGATCTCCGGTGGGGACTCATTCGAGAGGCAACCAATCAATGTTTCTCTCTCACATCGATGTTCTGTGTACACCAAAAGGTTGAGTGTTTATTCCTGGTCAGGGCACATACCTAGGATTTGTGTTTGATCTCCGGCGGGGACTCGTTCGAGAGGCAACCAATCAGTGTTGCTCTCTCACATCGATGTTTCTCCCTCTCTCTTTAAAAATCAATAAACATATCCTCAGGTGAGGATACAGAATAATAATAAATAGCCCTAGCTGGTTGCTCAGTGGTTAGAGAGTCAGCCCGCAGACTGAAGGGTCTTGAGTTCAATTCCAGTCAAGGTCACATAACTCGGTTGCAGGGCACGTGCGGGAGGCAGTCAATTGATGTGTCTCTCTCACATTGATGTTTCTCTCTCTCTGTCTCTCCCTCTCCCTTCCACTCTCTCTAAAAATCAGTGGAAAAAATATCCTCAGGTTTAACAAAAATACATAAGTAAGATAATAAATAAATAAGGAAGAAAATTAAAGTTGAACTGATCGTTCAGTGCTATTGCGAGAGACTCATTTGTCTAGCACAGAAAATTGGGTTGACTATTTGCATGCAAACACAAAGCTGGTACACGGTAAAGAGGCTGAAACCGCCTTTGTATATAAGGGTTTGGGGGGACTTTCACATAGCACACGTTGAAGTGCCCACAAAGGACATGCTTGACACTGTGCGGGAACTTGTGATGTGGGTGACGAGAGAGCGATCCTTTTCGATTGCCCCACAGTAATGGCACTTCCTTACTTTGCAGCATGTGAAACAACAGTGGAGCTCTTGTTTGACAGTGTTATTCACTTGGGCTGTAAACCGTACCTGGACAGCCAACGAGCCGCGTGTTGGTGTCGCTACGAAGAAAAAACTGATCTTTAAAGAAGATGCTGCAGGTGACTGCAGATGCGGATGAAAGCACATAACAACCTTTGGCAAAGAACTAATGTTTTTACAGCACAAAGGTGCCTTATTTTTGTGAAAGGGCTATTGTAAGACCTTATTTTGACATTAAAGCTTCAAACTAAAGAGGAAGGGGGAGGCTGTGTTCCTGGATGGCGCTGCCGTAGCGTGCCAGGCTGTCCTGACCAGTGTCGGGGAGAGGTGCGTGTTAAGGGGTGAGTTGTTTTTTTAAAGAAAGTTCTGTAACTTCGTTTTCGCAACCGCATTTACTCCCAAAATGAGGTCAAATGTAAAATTCATTATAAGGTAGGTTCACCATTATCTTATTTGGAAATATGGAGAGACCTTCACTCAGAAGTGTATTTTTGTTTACCATAAAAATTTAAAAATACATTTATGCCTGGAAGGATCTGACTTTGTTTTTTTCTCTGTTTTTAATTAATGCAAAATATGCTGTTTTCCTGTAGCCCATTGAGCATATGAATAAGTCACACTTCTATTAATGACAAGACTAATTACAAAGTCAAAATTTCCATGTCTGTTTCTCTTATAAAATTGGAACCATTAGCTCGTGACCTCTTAAGGAGCAAAACCAGAATATGTAGGTACTATGTAATGTGCCTAGAAAGTGACGTGAACAGAATTCAGAAGCACGGCCACTCCCATATTATGAACCATTCATATGACAAATGTCATATTTTGTTATAATCTTTGCCTAAATTGGAGAAAAGATGAATTTAATAAGATAAATGAGAAGTTGTTTACACGTCAGAGCATTGTATGCTGTTATGCTTTGATGTTTATTCCCTAGCTTGCTCCTCATAGTAGATTCTGGGATATTTGGAAAAGACAGTAACCTTTCACTAATCGTGGTCTTAATAAAAATTGTTCTTGATATTGTTGGGTGTGTTTTTTTTTCTAAAGTCTAACTGTGAGATCAAAAGGGATGGAAAGCAACTTACAAAGAACCATCTTTTATAGATCTCTCATTTACATGAAAAATTATTAACAGATGTTTAAGAGCAAATCCCACAACCTCCACTGCCTCTGAAAATGGGAGTGTTGACAGCTCTTCACCCCCTTGGAAAGTTCAGCTGTGTCCTCTGCTCTTCGAGTACCACTGGCTGTTGACTTGCCTGAGCCCAGAATGCCAAGCCATCTGTATCTTTTGGGTAGCCTGTGGCCACAGTTGTTAAGGCAAACTACTTGGAAAGTCAGAGAAATACACCACCAGGAGAAGGTACAAAAGATAAGGCCACCTTTTCATCCACTCTTAGAGTTAATTGAAGCAAATTTACACAATAGCCAACCACCCAAGGAAGAGCTCAATTAAAGGCAACACTGAGTGCCCCATCACACTGATCTGCACACTGGGCGGCCTTTTATGAGTGAGGACAACATGCTTTGACTCAAGAAAAACCATAATTTATGGACTTCCCTCCTCCCCCGCAAAGTCCAGGCTCCCAGTTTTTACATGATTCCTTCCCCAAATTAGCTTTGATAAAAATTATGACAGAGACTTAACCTGGACACAGTCAATCAGGAGGGAGGAGCTAGGGCTTTATAGGAGTTGTGTACCCCGTGTCACCTCCAGAACCCTGTTTCTACAGAGCCCTATGGCTGTAACCGCGCCTCCCCTTAACGTTCTCGTCCCTTAAGCTCCTCCTCCATCTTGGTCCAGTCCAGTGTGTGCATGTGGCTCACCATTGTCTGCATGCATCAGGTTGCAATTCTTTATTTTTCCCAAATAAGTTATTTTAGTGACAGAATAACAAGTGGATTCTGATTCCCAATCAACAGCTTGTTAACTAAAAAATAAGTCAAAGTGAGAGGCAACAAGTATTTATTTGAGACCACATAGTTACAATCATAGAATTCTGGCAAAAACCCAAATTGTGTTCCAAATTCAGGGTGAAGGCAATAGCTTTTTTTATGACAAAAGGAAGAGAAATAATTATATAAATAGAAGGAAGGACTTTCTATTGGTGTTACCAAGCTGTTACTCTTTAGCTATTCATGCAAGCATACTTCATTTCATTGCATTCACTTTATTGTGATTCGTTGTTTTCATCAACATCAAAGCAAGACGCTCCACCAGCAAAAAGAGTATAACTCACTGTTTAAGAACTTTAAAGAAAAAGAAAAATAAGGAAAAAAAAGAATTTTAAAGAATGTCCACAATCATCAGTCCTCATGGGCAGAATATCTGCTTTCCTGTTAGCTTTCCGGTTGTTTGTAAGAGTGTTGCCTGGCCCACTCCAAAGGTTACTCTGCCCAGTTCAAACATTGCAAAGGTTCTAGGAGCAGGATGTGCAAGCAGCTCATCTGGAATGGCTGCTCTGGCTCTATTTTAAAATGACTCCACTTATGTCAGCTTTTCACAAGCTCTACCTACAAAAGCCAGACTTAGAAATCCTGCAGTTGCCTCTAGTTTACTATACAAACAGAGCGTTTAAGATAAATTATTACAAATCCTATAAGCAACTCACAGGGAAAAGAACCACACGTTGCCATCCCATGGTCAGCACCAATTCAATCGCCAGCAGGAATCCTCACCTTGGCAAACAGCTACCAGCGGTTCTCAACCTGTGGGTCACGACCCCTTTGGGGGTCAAACGACCCTTTCACAGGAGTCGCCTAAGACCATCGGAAAACACATATATAATTACATATTGTTTTTGTGATTAATCACTATGCTTTAATTATGTTCAATTTGTAACAATGAAATTGGGGGGTCACCACAACATGAGGAACTGTATTAAAGAGTCGCGGCATTAGGCAGGTTGAGAACCACTGAACCGTTCGGATGGCTGTGAAGGCAGCTCCGAGGTGGCAGCGCCACCGCAGGGCCTCCCGAGGAAACGCACACTTCTGTCTCTGATGGAAAGCGCGCTCCCCGAGGGAACCAGCGGGACCCGGCTGACGTACAGCCTTCACCACCCGGGCCCCTGATTGGTCAGGGCTGCGCGCAGCTCCGATTGGGTGGGGAAGCTCAGTCCTGCTGGTTTAAATAGGACCCCAGGGTCTCCTTTATAAGGGCTGGCTCGGGGGCAGAGGCGCTGCGGGCGGGCAGTTCAGTGCAGGGCCTTAGAGGCTTCTCACGACGTGCAGGTTGCGTGAGGGGCCCCCGTGCAGAAATGGCTGCTAGGCTCTGCTCCCCCAGCCCCCTGCTTAGCCACCAGGAGCCCTTACTAGTCCTCAGGGTTCACACCTGGAAAGGGAAGACTCACAACCTTCTTACCCTTTACGAGAGTCAGGGAGAGCAAACATTGGGGCTGGATTGACCGCGCGCGGGTGATCTGATGTCGCCTGTTGACATTGCCCAGAGGCAGGTTAGTCCCTCCAGGCGCCAGGCGGCTAAGCCTGCGTGTCTCCGTCGCGCCTCGAGGCGCTGTGCACCCCCACCCCACCCCACTCCACCCCCCAGCTCTGCTGGGAAGGAAGAAACCTTATCCCCCCAGGCTCCAGGCCGGGGCGGAGACGGTGGAGGAAGGGGCGGTGCTGCAGACGGGCTCTAGGAAGCGGAGATCTACGGGTTATGGACGCTGCGCTCGCCCCGATGAGCTCGGTGCCCGGGCCCCGAGAGGCTGGCCCTGCAGGTAGGGGTTGCCTAGGGCGCGGGCTCCCCGGGCTTTGCTGGGCGGCCCGAGGAAGAT